ACGAGGAGGAAGTAATCGCGATTTTCATTTTAATTCATATCACGGCGACGTCATTCGCATAAAAATGATTTTCGTATGAGCCAAAATTAAAAAAAAAAAAGCTTAAACGGTCTGGCATGCGTGTTATCGATACTTGTGCTCACAGGAACCGCGGTCGATCGACTTTCAAGAGGTTTCGTGCACACGATACTGGTCCGACCAGATCGTAAGAAGGCTGAATGAAGAGGACCGCAAAGAAAGAGGACCACGTAGAGGACAGAAAAACGCCCGAGATCGAGTCAGAACTCTTTTATATGTACCGCACGGGACCGAACAATGTCCATTCACCGTGCAGAATACACTGTGCCAAATAGCTGCGTAATAAAACTGGAATAAAACGATCAGAAAGCGCTGATCTCGAGAGCCTTACGTAAATTAAGCCTGCGTAATGTACGCGCACACGCTGAGATTTATTTTACATAATCAGATTAAAACGGAGCGGACGGTGGAACTACATTCTTTTCACTACACAGATAAAATCTTTAATCATAAATTGCTCTACTTTCTGCAGCACAGAATTGAACAATAAAATAATTCAATCATTACAAATTATCTTAATTTGTTAAAATAATGAAATTAGTTTATCATCTCTCTCGATGATATTTCACTGGATTTCTTCGGCACTTGACGACATACTTGAGGAAATCTTAAGTGCTATTTTCGTCAATTTACTTAATGCATTAAATACTATCGGGGGAATATGTCAGAGGGTATCGACCAATTTAAATTCCGCACGAATACCGCACGTCACCCTTAAATGGGTTACCACGCGACGATCGATATGCCAACATGCACGTACACTACGATCAATCGAGTTTCGTGTATCTTTCGCCGACCGGTAACGAGTTCACTGTATGACTGGCATCGGCCCCGCGGTAGTTGTCGGACCGGATCTCACGACGACAGCTTCCATGTGAAATAATGGCGTGAAAAATGGTTCCGACAGACAGCCGGATAAGCGCGTAAGAAGTTTTCCGTGAACGCTCGCGTTAAATTTGTACGTCAAATGTTTTTCTTAAACAATAAACTTCTTTTTCTTAATAAAGAAAAATCACAAATTCTCACGATATTTTTCACATTAATTATTCTCGCAGTTCGGAAAAAAAACTGAGAACTTTTTGACTTGTGTTATGTTTATGTAAAACTTCGTGAATTAGGTCTTTTAATGGAACTACGATAAGATTTTTTGCATTAATTATTCCTCCTAGAGAAATGATATTTTTCTCACAAGCAACAATGTCTCAATACTAATAACTATATTCACTTATAATGGACATCATTTTTATAGAATCTTAATTCTAAAGTAAAATACATAAGGTTTAATAATTAAAATATTTCACAGATGTAAAAAGATTAAAAAATGTGTTTTCCTCAAAATTGCCCACAGATGACAAGCAATAACGTACAAGCGGTGCATAATATAATTTAGATTATCTGCAGGGATGACTGATCTATACAGTCGTTTGGGTTTAGTGAATCCATTTGACTTTTTTAAGAGACAATTTAAAATTCTCTTTCAAAGAATCATCATTAAATTATAGAGAAGTCTACGATATTCTCTCTGTCTGCGACGCTGAATGAAAGAAAAAAACCTGAAATAGACCGCAATATATAGAACATTTCTAAATAAACACACTTCATATTCAATAAATCAGAAATCTAAATCTCGCTTCGTTTCCCTTTCTTGCTCAATCTCTGGGAGTGCGGTAGTCTGTTCGGTAGTGAAAGGCCCGATCGATTATTGGCAATCATAGATCGCGCGAAGTTCACGGATGGCAGGAAAAAAAGGGAGGAATCGGAATCCGTACTATGATTAGACTTTAACGAGCGGCGGAGAGAGAGAAATCAGGGAAAGAGATATCAAGAAAGGCGGTTGATGAATGGCTTCGATCGGACCTTATAAGAAGCGGTTAATCTCAGAAGGAAGAACGGATCCTACGGGCTTTGCAAGATTTATCGTTTCATCTCAAGAGCACCACGAATCCCACTCGTCTTTATCTATTTTCCCCTCCGGCAACCTCGTACTGCCTTTTTTCTTCCCGCGGATGAAAGGAAGGGAAGCGCGAGAAGCAGCTTTTCCCAATTCGTACCTTGTCCAACTTTTCGCCGCGGAATGCAAATCCCGCGAGCGAAGAGAAAAAAAAAACGTTCGGTTAAAAATTGATTCGACGCGCGTATATCGTCGAAAGTGGCGCAAAAAGGGAAGAGAGGTATATATGTACTTCAAATATCCCAACGAACGAATTGAAACGGTTATCAATTTCCGAAGCGGGTGACGCGCGTGTACTGGAATTTTTTTCCGGGGTCGACCTGTCCGTGAGCGACGTCAACGGCAAACGGATCTCCTTTTTCATTTCTCGTCTCGGCAGAAGAAAAAGGATTAATGGCCTCATAGCATGACACCGCGTCGTGATAAGATCGCGGGGCTTCTTTTAACTGTCGGCTGCCGAGCGTCGGCGATCATATCGGCGACATCCGAATCGCATCGTGTATCTGCTAAAGCAGCACGTGAGACGGGCTTTTATCGATTCGTGATTGTGCACGGGCGAGTTTCTTCGCTTACTGCGCCTTGAAAAGACGCCTCTCTACTTCGTTCTCTCTCTCTTTTTCTCTCTCACGAACATATTCATCTTTCACGTGATTTAAAATTCATAATAAATTTCAATGTCGAGAGAACATTATTCGCAATTCATAATTCAACAATTTATAAAGTAATTTTTTAGTTATATTATTTTATAAAAAAAATGTGTAGACGCAATTTAGAATTCCAAGGAATTTTTTCAAAAAAAATTTGCAAAACTTGAATTTTTAAAATAATATTTAAGAAGAGAAAAGATTATTGTAATTTGAAAATTATATTTTATAATTGAAAAATATATATAACAAAAAGATGTAATAAAAATCAAAAATTATTATTTTAAATAATCTCTCTAACTCATACATTTTCATTATATTTTTAAGCTGTAGCAGCGTTTCTTCACAAAACATGACATCCAATAAGTTCGACGTTTGCGACATCTTTTCGAGTTACTGCTTATAAACTCACGACAGAAGAATACCATGAAAAACCGTCTCACGTGCAATACGCCGAATCTCCGAGAGCAATTTCGCGGATATACGCGCATCGGGGCGTGCAAAAAGTGTCGTAGATTGAATAACCGAGAAGATAGTGAACCGCGTGAGGTCGCAACGACTGCATCTCCCGCGGAGGAAAATCGGAATTTCACGGGCGCGAGCTCGGGACGAGATCTACCTATAAAAACCTATCATGCACTCGTACGGGATAAGATATATATATATATATATATATATATATATATATATATACGAGCGAGAGGTGTGAGATAATAGCACGGAACTCCGCGGCGCGGAGAAAACGCCGCCGGGGAGCATTAAAAAGAATAGACGCTATCGCGCGTTTTCTTCGAGCGATATTCTTTACCTTCACCGTCGAACGCGAACTCCTCACAAAAGCGGAGCGATCCCTATTTCACTCTAAACCCGCATTTGCCAAGACGTATGCACGCCCGACTTCGCCGGAAGCCGCCGCTTCGCGGATGCATAAATTCGATAAGACCACCCGTTAGTGACGGCTTCTCCGCGTAAAGACCGCGAAGCGAGGAGAGAAGAAAGAGAGAAGAGAGAAAATCTCGCGAATGATCTTGCCCTCTTTTACCATCCCTCGCGCTTCCTTTCGCTTCCCTTCCTTTCCTCTGAAAGCCCCCCCCCC